GATTCAATCTGAGTCTATATAGGGACTTCTTTTTTGAAATTTTTACACAGTCATAACAAATTATTTATTATACTCTATTTTGTATTCCGGTCTACAACAATATACTGTAGTTTAATTATTATACGTATATTTGATGATAAATGAAAAAAAAATTGTGGATAAGTTTATTTTCAGTATATTGACAGTTTTTAGCATCTTTATAGTTTTTTGTTTGTTTTAAAGTTAAAATTGGACGAAAAATATGAATAATTTTCAAAACTCGGATATTAAGGTTAGCATGTTGCAAACAAACATGAAAGGATATGACTCATCTGTGGGTTTATCAGGTTGGGTAGTGACAGGAGGAACCCTAGCTGAAGTGCAACCCCTGATTTCCGGTACACCCCCTCCCTTTCGGCACTGCCAGAGGCCATTATCCCAACCTTTTCCACCTCCACCCCACCTTATGGCTAATAATCTTTTTGCTTAGCTGACCTTCCTCCTTTAGCTAACCTCCAGTAACGTCAACCTTCCCTCAACACCCCCCCCCCCAACGAACCCTATAACTCCAACGGGAAAAAGGCACTTACCTAAGCTTCTTCTTCCTCCAAGGAGTTCCCCCAAAGTTTTGTTCCCCCTACCGAAAATGTTATCCAGTTCTCATATGAAGAAGACTCTAAAGGCTATGAAGAATTGGGGCTTTGTCGACTATTCAATCGAAAACTCTTACTACGAAGCCGCATACTACGAATTCTATTTGTTGAAAGTTATAAGGGTCAGAATTCTATGAATTTTATCAGTTGAGAGACATAAGGGCTAGAATTATCTGAATTTTGTCTGAAATGAAATATTTGTTTATTTATTTTTTCACACTATCATTTGAATTCTCGATAACTGCAATTACTACTTTTGCTAAGCATAAAAATGTATTATATTGCTTTTAGCACTCAATTAATGCTTAATAACAAATTCATTTGAAATATTAGATTGATAAATATGACATCTGAGCTGTGTTAGCTCACGGTTATTCTGTCTTTTGTTTTTATGGTTTGGGAAATGAAAAAAGCCTATTGAATAGTAGTTTTTTGGATTCAATCTGAGTTTATATAGGGACTTCTTTTTTGAAATTTTTACACAGTCATAACAAATTATTTATTATACTCTATTTTGTATTCCGATCTACAACAATATATTGTAGTTTAATTATTATACGTATATTTGATGATAAATGAAAAAAAATTGTTGATAAGTTTATTTTCAGTATATTGACAGTTTTTAGAAGCTTTATAGTTTTTTGTTTGTTTTAAAGTTAAAATTGGACGAAAAATATGAAAAATTTTCAAAACTCGGATATTGAGGTCAACATGTTGCAAACAAACATGAAAGGATCTGACTCATCTGTGGGTTTTATCAAGTTGGGTAGTGATAGGAGGAACCCTAGCCGAAGTGCAACCCCTGATTTCCGGTACACCCCCTCCCTTTCGGCACTGCCAGAGGCCATTATCCCAACCTTTTTCCACCTCCACCTCACCATATGGCTAATAATCTTTTTTCTTAGCATGACCTTCCTCCTTTAGCTAACCTCCAAGCCGCATACTGTAACGCCGACCTTCCCTCAACACCCCCCCCCCCCTCCAGCGAACCCCATAACTCCAACGAGAAAAAGGCACTTACCTAAGCTTCTTCTTCCTCCAAAGAGTTCCCCCAAAGATTTGTTCCTCCTACCAAAATGTTATCCAGTTCTCATATGAAGAAGTCTCTAAAGGCTATGAAGAATTGGGGCTTTGTCGACTATTCAATGGAAATACTCTTACTACGAAGTCTTATTCTCTTCCATAAAAAAAGGTGCGGAATCTCAAAGGAACCTATGTCTTCTTTCACTCAGTGAAGGGTTTTCTCTATTAAATTTTTCTAGTGTTGAGGATTTTGACATGCAATGGATAGGGGGGTTGTATATGCTTCCAATTCTATTAAAATTTTCTACTGTCGTATATGCTTCCAATTCTATGGCTGCGAGATCCTTTAGCTTAATCTAAAACAATTAGGGGAGAACATCTCTGCTGCTTGGATCATCATGGGAAACTTCAACTGTTGTAAATTCTCTCATGAAAAATCTGGAGGCAACCCTATTCCCAATAACAAGTTATGGGAACATAACAAGTTTATCTTCGAGGCTGGTATCAAGGATCTTGTTTCGGTGGGCCTCAAGTACATTTAGTTCAGTCAAAGACTTTCTACCCCTATCCATATTATGCTCGATAGGATTCTATTTAATGAAGCTTGGTTCCAACTGTTCCCATCATCCTACTACAAAATTGAACGACCTATGTGCTCAGATCATTCTCCCCTGATCCTTTATACCCGACCCCTCATAAGAAGGAGCCTTAGATTCCAAATTAAAAATTATTGGGTTAAAATCACTCAATTTTAGGACATCCTTTTAAAAGTGTTTTCTCAAAGCATGGTTGATAACCCCACTGTTAATCTTTACTCCAAATTGAAGTCTCTGAAGGCTATGATCAAAACCATGAATTGGGCATCATCTGATAATCTATATCACAACCTTTAAGATCTACAAAGAAAACACTTTTTAAGCCTTCAACAGCTTCACACTAATCCAACTGATGCTTCCCTTAATGTTCTCACTAAAGAAATTGGTGAAAAGCTCTCTCAACCTCAATCAGCTTGGGCCTCTTGGATCTCTTAAAGAAGTAAAGCCAAATGGCTTCTACATGAGGATGCTGATCTCAATTATCTTTATATGAAGCTTCATTAAAAAAATCAAATTATTTCAAGGAGATCTCTACCCCATCTAGCACTTTCAACTCACCTATTGAGTTTTTTACTTCATAGTTTGGATCAGAATGGTTTTTTCCCTTATTTACTAGTTGAATAAAAGTCTGTATTGATGATGTTCATTTCTCAATATGCTACTATGGTGGGGCTATAGGGCTTTTTTAGCTCTACATCTGGATTGAGACAAGGATGTCTCTTGTCCCCTTACCTATTTTTCATCATTATGGATGGTTTGTTTACCCTTTTCAAAATGTCCATTCTCAACAATACTTATAAGGGCAACCAAAAAGAAAATCAGCAAATCTCTCATTTATTTTATGTAGATGATCTGCCAGTCTTTGGACATGCCACCAACCAGAATGCTATTACCCTGAAAGACATTTTGAGGGATTTCTAACTTGAATATGATCTCCAAATTAATCACAGGAAAAGAAACATCTTCTTCTCTATCAATGCTAACAACATCACTAACTTTTGTTCTATTCTTAATCTCTCTGTTTCTACATTCCCTCTCAAATATTTGGGCATTCACATATCCTCCAAAAGGCTCCTTCTCCATGACTTCCAGCCCTTGATTCAAAAGATATCTTCTATGCTAGATGGTTGGAAAGCTAGAATGATGTCATTTGCGGGTAGACTTCAATATTTAAGATAAACTATTTTGAATTGTTTTTTATGCTGGCTTAGAAGCTCGTCTTTTATTAGTAGAAGGTGTGCTAAATTTCTTTATCACAGTGACACTAATGCCAAAAAGCTTCACCTCATCTCTTGAAAAAAAACTTATCTTCCTAAGCAATGCGGTGGTTTGGGCATTCCTGACATTCAAGCTCTTATATATGCACATGGTTTTTCATTTATCTGGCGCCTCCTCACCACCGACAGTCCCCTCATTCATTGGCGTAAAGAGAAATATTTCTTTTGCTAGAAACCAACTTCTCAAAATTGCTTCTCTTTTTAGAAGAATATTAATGAGATTGCTAATAGTCATAAGTCCAATTGCATCTTCCACATCACGTCTAATGCAAAATTTTCCTTCTGGAATCAATTATGTAATGGGAAGACTTCTGTTTGAAATTCTGGGCTCCTCTCCCTCCCATCATCCACCCCCTTCACCTCCTCTACATCCACCTTCATCTCCAATGACACATGGAACCTTCCTTCTACTCTCTTTGTTGATATCAAGGAAAATATTACTCAAGTTCATTCTCGTCGGCTAATGGCCTTGTTTTAACTTAGAAAGGTTTAGATACTCCTCTCTTCAAGGATTTTTTATCAGGTATATATAAGGAACTTCCCACTATCTCTTGGCCCCCATTTATTTGGCACAAGAGATTTGTCATCCGTTACTCCTGTTATGCTTGACTTGCTATAGCCGGAAGCCTTAAAACATCATATGTTCTAATTAAACGTGGAATCACTGTGTAGCCTCTTTGCACATTCTGTAACAATTTTGATGAAAGCAACACACAACTTCTTTTTGAATGCAATTTCATATTTAATATTGTTTCATCTTTTATACCTTGGGCTAATGAGGTTAAGCCTGATTTAAATGCTTCAACACATTCATGACTTGCCTCAAGTTTCCATTGTTAAAGATCTTTGCTTTTGTACTACCTGTTGCTATGTTTCTTTTATTTGGAGGGAAAGAAATGTTAGGATTTTTGATAATTCCATTAGCATCTCTTCCACTTTATGCCATCAAATCAAGAAAACTATTGTTGCTAAGGTATCTAGATGGAAGAAATATAATGACATTGTGCATCTCATTTCTTAACATTTGGAGGGCTAGAATTAGTGGCTTGTAGTTCCTTTGGTTGCTTTTTAGGCCTCTTCTTTTGGATGTTGATGGTTCTTTGGATGTCATGATGCCAGTTTTTTGGATGTCAAATGCTATTTTCCTGGAAGAAGTTTTGTAAGACAATGATGAGAGCCTTCTGCACCCGTCTGTCATATTTCCCCTTTGGAAGGCTTCCAACAACCAGGGGAAATCCGAGATCCTATCAAGACAGATGTTATTCATGACTCTAAGGGATTTTTATACTTTTGAGTCATGTTTTGTTTTAGTATTTTTCATTTTTCCTTTATCATGAAATGTATTACCCATAGTTCAGTTTATGTTGAGTTTGCATGGGGTTCTGTTTTTGAGCAAATCTATTCTGGCTATAAATAAAATTTAACGCACAGACCAAAATCTGTAGAAATCTATTAGTACAAAGATTTCTCACCTGATCCACACCGGATGGGAGGGGGTCAACCACAAAAGTAGGGATCTCTTTCATCAAATCATCTGGGCTCCCAGAATGCAACACCCTTGTGAAACCTCCCATCTCTGAACCTTCTGAATCCTTCATCTTCTTATACCAGTAGTACATTATCCGGCACTGCCACTTACTGTAAGGAGAATCGGTCGCTGTGAGTGCCACATGGAATGGCCTTCTTTGGCCCTCAGATTCCTTCAACTCATTGGGTCTCTGAATCATGGAATCAGATCGCCGGGAAAGTTCCATCTCCCCATCATTATTCTGGCTGTGGATTACTAGAGTGACGAGATTATAGGTGGCTACAAAGAATCCAAATCCAAGGAGAACAAGGAAAAAAGGCGACGGTTTGGCCATCCTTCGCCTGTAAATTACTTCCGGGATTAAAACCAAGGCTCAACGCATCTTCTATGCTTGGTAATCATATCTGAGAGTCGAATCTCAATGGCTTTTGGATGAATTTCAGACCTTTTCCAAGAGCTTCCTTTAATTTGGCAAAGAAAACACTTAAGAAGATGGCGGAACGAGCAGGCCGAAGAGCCGGCAAAGGCAGACTTGTAAGGAGGAAAAGTTTCCGAGGATTAAAAAGACTTGCATCCAGAGAAAGCAAGCATCTGACACAGATCGAAACTCAAAAAGAGGTATACAGAGAGATAAAAATCGCACCTTCAAATTTGGAAGGCCTGCAATGAGATGGGACGGCGAGAGGAGGCGTGGAAGTCTTCGACGAACAATAGGCTTGTTGGATCGTTGAGAGGAGAAATTTTAAAATTGGAACTGAGAGAAAAGAGAGAGAAACGCGTTGGAGTGGACTGAAATTCTCAACGGGTTGTGATGCCGTACCAATTTTGGTTGTATTTTAATGAGCAAGTAGCTATGTGGGAAGATAAAACCCCTGAAAAGACAATTTTTTACTCTGATTAGCAATGCTTTAAAAATCGGATCAAATTGGTTGGTTCAACTAATTTAATTGTGAATCAGCTGGCCGGCCGGTTGCGCTTTGCTTCAAAACTGGTTTCGTAGATAATCGGATTTGAACCATTCGAACTGGCGATTCAATCGTCAAACCATAAAATAGGTCCCAGTTTCTGATAACTGGCCAATTCTGCTACAGCCCATTTTGAGTTGTTTAGTGAAGATCGGATGACTCAAATCAAAGAAGGTGAAGCTTATATGAAATCGAAAAAACAAAAAACCCTACAATTCATTCAGACATATCGGTATCACGTATCATCCTCCCTGTTCCTGCTCGACGTATCTTCTTCCCATCGCTGTCTCCTGCTAGTTCGCAAAGCCAACACCGAACCGAAGGCTTCCCTCTCGTGTTCAACTCCTCCTTTCCGACCCAATGTCTGTTCTTCACCTCTTCTTTTCGCATTCGGTACTTACCCTCGCGTGCTCAATCCAAGCATCATCTCTTTGGACTATGATTCATGCATAACTTCTATTTCTCTTTCCTAATGTTGCATCCTACTTGTCATATTATATTAGCATTACTTGAGGATCAAGGGAAAGATTTTATTGGACCCATTAGGATGAACTTAACATAATCTATCTCGAGAAGATTCCTCTAACACTAATCTTAGGATTTCTTAGGAAGATCTTATAAAAAGTACAAGAGGTCCTAGAAAAAGAGTTTTAGGATTAAAGCCTATAAAAATACATTTCCTTGAGAAAAAATAGGAGATTTATCAGGCCTTAAGTCAACCTATTCATAGGCTTAAGTAAGTCTAAGCTAGTGATTATATGACTTTTCATGATTGAATTTATATTGTTTACAATATCTTGTAGTTGTATTGATGCTGACTTACTATAGTGAGGTGTCAAGCTGCATTGAAGTTAATAAGTTATGCTTTATAAGAAAAATGTTGAGATAGATTGCAGTTGTTTTCTTGAAAATGAAATACCTAGTTAGATTACAGTTGTCTTCTTCAAAATGAAATGCAACTATTTTGCCATGATTTATCATTTATGTATTCAAATGTCTCATCATGTTATACTTTCTTTATATAAATTGTTTCAATAAATTCCTTACATGAAATTTGTTCTTATGCCTTTGAACGTTTCCTATAATTATTAGCTGCAATGAATGGATGAAATTTTTAAATCCTTTATTTATTTTAGTAGATTAACTGCATCTGTATGATTGTTTTGCATTAATAGTTCTAATTTATATTTTAAAGAAATCTCTATATTTACTTGTTATGCTATCAAAATTTTGTGTTGAATTGGGATTGTTTTGATTAGATTATTCACACATATAAACTCATAAGTTCTAGAGTTTTTCAATTTCTATTGGAAGTTCTCTAACTAGGACAATCATCAAATTATTGTTTGGCATTAAGTTTCATCCATTATTATAGTCACATTCTGATCGTTTTTTTTTGTTCTCTCTTTTTGTCTTTTGAAACTTCAATCTCTTAAAATTATTCATACCTTTTAGTTAATCAAATTAGAATGGAAGCACACAGTAATTAGATTTCAACTTTACAATTATAGTGTGTGTGAGAAAGTAGACATTGCTTGGAATTATTTCACTGAAGTTAGAGATGCTGATGGGAAGAAGCAATTCAAATATTTGCATTGTGGTATTACATACAAGGGATGAGGAATAAATAGAATAAAATAATATTTAGCATGAGTTAAGGGAATATAACTTCTTGCAAAAAGATTCCACACGACATTTAATATCAACTGCAGGAGAACTTTAAGAAAATTTCAAGAAAAAAAAACAAGCACAGGCAAAGTTGGATAGTATATCATTTCCTATAGATGATGTTGCTAAGGAAGAAAGAGATTCTTCTTCTCTTCCTACAACACAATCTTCCGAAGAATATGTATCAAAACTTGCTAAAGGAAAAAGAAAAAATATTGATGCGGACACTTTCTTTGCTCCTAGAACAAAACTAGGTTCTCAACCATCAATTAAGAGTGTTTCGTAATCTAAGGAAGTAGTTCACCGCGCAGATATGGCTTTAGCAAGATGGTTTTTTTATTGTTAAATTCTATTTAATGCTTTAACTTCAGTATATGCACATAAAACTATAGATGTCATTATTGCTTTAGATCCTGGTTACAAGCTCCCCACTTATTACAATATGAGAGTAAACTTACTTATGGATTATAAAGAGGAGTGCAGGATACTCATTGATAACTATAGATAAACTTAGAAGAAAACAAATTGTGCACTTATGATAAATGGATGGACTAATAGTAGGAGCAAAGATTAATTAGTTTTTTGATATATTATCTATGTGGTGTATTTTATTTAAAATTAGTTGATGTTTTAGACATCACAAAGGATGCTATAAATTTATGTGCTTTATTTACTAAGGTTATTGAGTGGGTTGGTCTAGAGAGTGTAGTTCAACTAGTTACTGATAATGCTGTTAATTACAAGAAAGCAGGTCAGATGTTACATAAAAGATTCAACAACATCTATTGGTAACCTTGTACAACACATTATATGAACTTAATTTTGAAAGATATTGACAACATGCCTCTCATATAGGACCTAGCAAAAAAAAACATCAAATGTGACAATTTTTTGTTGTAATCATATCTCCATACTTGCACTTGAGAAAGGCCAGGTTGGAAGGAGATCGTACATCTTGGAGAAACTCATTTTGCAACAACCTTTATAACTTTGAAAAGTGTCTATAAGCACCATCATGACCTACAAGCACTAATCACAAGCAAGTTCTATATAAATTCAAATATATCCAAAACTTCCAATGGAAAGAAGTAGCTTCAATTATTTTGGACTTGAAGTTTTGGGATAATTGTCTTATCATTTCAAAGACATGGAGCCCTTTCAGTTATTACATATTATTGACTTGGCTGAGAAACTATTACTTGAATATCTATATGATGGCAGGTACAGTGCATGAAAAGATGATTAAAGCTATGTTCAAAATGTAAAGAGATCATATAAGTTTTTCACTACTAAAAATAAAAAGAAGATTTGATACTCAATTATGGAAAAGAATCCATGCATTAACATATTTTCTCAATCGTCATTTCTATAATGATAAAAAGAACCATTGGTAGAAGATAAAAATTTTACAAGGTCTAGTTGACTTAATTAGAAATAACGACATTTGTTCAAAGTACACAGTCACAATGAATGAAGTCAAATTATTCTATGATGGCTTTGAAAGCATTGAAAAATTAATTGCACAGACGATGGCTAATGAAATACAACATGGTAATTCTCTTTTTAATGTCAACATGCTTATATACTTATATTAGTATATTTGTATTTATAAATAGACACACTTACTAAGCTCTCTAACTTGATAATATGCAGATGAGTAGTAGAAGATGTTTGGATCAAGTGTTCAAACTTGTAGAAAGTAACTATACGAATTCTAAGTCAAACATCATCTTCATCAAGATGCAAGAGAAATTGGAGTGTTATTGAAAAGATTTACTCAAAGAGACAAAATTATTTGGAGCATCAAAGGCTCAATGATCTTATATATGTTTGATATAATCTAAACTTAAAGAATATGTATAATCATACAATATATTTATATTTATGTATAAGTGTCAATTTAAAGAGTATGTATAATCTTAACCTAACATTATTTCTTCATTTTTTAGGTTTCATCTTAAAAAAAGATATTATGATCATCTGGACTACAATTGTGTTGAAATTGTTGATTTATGGATACTTGAAAATAAAACAACTCTAGAACTTGCCTTATACACTTGGAAAATGAGATAAACAAAGAGGATGCAATGCCTATTATTGAAGAACAAAACATATAGTCCAATCGGTTAGGACATAGCAAGTTGATAATGAAATATGAGGATATCATTTAAATGAAAGAAAATATAATATCTTATTTTATATTTCTTATTTATTGGTGAAGGTGACATAAAGAATGAAGGAGATGTGGGTGATATAATTGAGTTCAATCAATTGGATGCATTTGGGATTGAAAATTTTGGTTCAGCGAGACCTAGGAACTCAACTTATGTGGATAGATTTGATGATGCAAATTTAGGAGATATTTGATTTTTCTCTTATAAAATTATTGAAACAATTGAACTAAAAAAATGAAACATAGTTAACTTCATCTCCATATAATGAATAATTTTATTTTTGTTATTAGTTTATATAAAGTGTTAAAAGTTTTCTATGATTGGTTGTATCTTCAAGCGAAATATATGTATTTTTCTTATTTACATTGTATTTGATTATTTGTTTTATAATTATAATGATAATCTCGTATTTATTTTATTTTTTGAGCTTCACCAATTGCAGGTATAAACCATAAGATTTTAAGAGAAATTTTGATTTCATCCGTCAAGTTATGACTATAAAGAGGCCAGTTGCTTTTTAATAATAATGTATTTAATTTTAAATTTATTTGTTATATTTTTTATGCTTCATATTATTATTATGTTCAAATTTTGTTATATATTTACAAATTATTGTTTTATTTTTATTATAATTTAAATATAATAAGTATTTATTCTCTCTGTCTTCCTATTCGTTGTCAAATATGGTTTTTAAAGCCTTATAGATAAGCTCAAAAAATAGACCAAACACCCAAAAATATAGGGTTCTAATTGTTACCGCTTCGTTTACCTGCGAACAAGTTAGAGTTTGGCCTAGTGATCAAATCATTCCAAATTTTTTAAGACATCTATCTAAATTTAGTTTATAACAAAATTTATTAGGATTAGAAAATATTTATTCTATTCAACCTAATTTTTTATGAAGTGCATGAATTAAATGGAAGGTTACATGCCCTTAAAATGATATATATTAGGGGTGTAAAAAAATGACCAAATTCAAATTCAACCTAAAAATTAAATTTAGGTTGAAC